CATTGGTGTTGGAAAACGAGCGAATAGGACGCTGCACTTCCTCTGTTCTCCTCTTCCTCCAACGACCTCCAACGACCTGAGGCAGTTGGACCAGAGGCAGCTTCATCCGAAGGTGCGGGATCTTTGCACTCGGTGTTTATTGGAGGCTAGTATTGTCCAAGATTCTGACCGGTGATTTTCGGTGGCCCGTCTTCTGCACAAGAACAATGAATGCATGGATGTCAGTTTCATTAGGGCATGCTGGACTAGCTCAAGTTGGTGGCCGTTGACGGATTTTGAGTGCTGTCCTGCCTTCTTTTCTCCAGCCCTTGCTTGAGCCCACCCGGCAGGCAAGCTAGGTCCTTCTGACCACAGCTTCTTGCAGATCGTTTCAAACCCAAGAAATGAGAGACAGCGGGACTGCTTGTCCTTGGCCCGGGTGCGCCATTTTGGAGGCAGAGAGCTCCGTGCTTGGAGAAAATGCTCCAAGTCTGCAACAGCTAAAAATCACAGAGGAAAAGATCGCGCGATGGAAGAGCGATGAAGATCTCTTGATGTCTCGGATGTCTCGGTGATGGTCCCCCCACCTAGGAGCGATGGCCTCCAACCTAAGAACGATGGCCTCCAACTATAATATCAGCATCACGTCAAGCCTCCCGCACCTCCAGGTCTGGGCCCTGATGGACCTGATGGACATGCAGGTCCCGTCGTTTCCGCACGCCTCGCACGCGCGGCCAGTCCGGAGCACCTAGTGGGATGAGGGGGGAAAAGCTTTTGGACCATGCCCGCATCACTCTGAGACCGACGTCCCCGAGCTTTCGGCATTTGCCGTTGAACAACAGCGAGAGAGTAGCCTGTAACAACCCGGTTTCTGAGAATGTGGATCAATTACGCATCGCAAAGAACGATTTGTTTTACTAGTTGCCCTTGAAGGGGCCCTGGAGTTGGTTCTGGCCCTGACTTGCAGACGCGAAGGTAAAGCCAGATGCAATGGGATGACATCACAGCTAAGAATTTTCGGTTTTGGGATCCCAAATGATCTGATTAGGGGTTGGGAAAGCGACGATTTTGTAGGTTGGTAGATGGCTCTTTGCGAAGCGTAGTCGACCCGTTCTTCGCGCAAATTTCATGGTTGGTGACGCCCCCAGAAACTCGGAGCGCCTCTTTTTGCACAACTCGAGGAACCCAGAAACTTGGGAAACCCAGGACTGGCCCAGGACTGGCCTAAGGGGGGTGGTTCCTGGTATTTTTTGAAGATTTTCAAGTCGGTTGTACGCCATCAGAGTGAGGACTCCAAACTCAAGTTTCTTCTGGAACAGGACAGGCTGCCCCAGTTGTGCTGACGACGAGATATGTTTGAAATTCCTTTTGCATCCTTTTGCCATGGACAGTCTGGAGGGTTGGATGTGGTTGGATGATGACATTCACTTGTGTTGGAAAGGGCTGTCTGTGCAGGTGTGGGCACCATTGGCCGTCTACTTGTTCCCCCAAAGAGGAATCCTGGAATCCTCAATCATTGGTTGTGAGCCGCCAAACATGCTAATCTTATCCATCGGACACTTTGTGCATGAAGCCCGAGTTCTTTCTACTCCTTTCATTTGACAGGTGCATGATGAGACTGCAAGTGTAGCCCGACTCACGAAAGACTCAGACTCATATCTTTGCTAATTCCAAGCTGTCATAGCCCCCTCGTTTCCGAGGAACGCAGAAGCTCGGAGCTCCAGGAGTGGCCTAGGAGTGGTTGCCTGGCGGGTGGTTGGCATTTTTTTGGGAGATTCTCAAGTCAGTTGTTTGATCTTTTCTTACCCAAAAAAACAGGTTCCGTTGGCAGTCATGTGCGTTTTTCCCGTGCGATGTCCTCCCGGGCAGTTGTGGGGTCAGAAATCGACCGTTTGACACAGACATGTGCCGATGACATGTCTGGGTCATGAAGGAAGGCAGGTTTGCAGGAAACGGAGTACACACGGTGTAATTTGTACTTAAATGAAACAACTAACTCGAGGTAATTTTGATATGTTTGTCTCTCCCACCCTGTTGCTGGGCGACTTTGTTTGCTCAAGCGATCAGCCGCGAACCTCAGCGCAACAGCATCCTGCTTGACCGCCATCATGGCCATGAAACTCCTCCTGTCCTTTGTGACAGTTGCCATTGCAGCAGCCGAGTCTACCTTGGAGGCTCTAGATGTGGATGATGCATGCGCAGCCAATGGAGATTGCAGTCTGGAGTTGAATCAACTTCGTGGAATGAAGGTGAACTACCATGACGTTTTGATGTCTGAGGATGAGGATGAGGATGAAGTGACACTTGCGGGCGGAGCATGCACCAACACCAAGGACTTGGGCGTTTGGAAGGGGGGAGGAAGGACCAGCTTCGATGGTGCATTGAACCAATGCGGTCGCTCCTGTGCGGCAGGCTTCCCTTGCACGCAAGGCTGCATGCAACAGAAGGGATACTCGCAGCCATGCGCAGCCTGCATGGCGCATTTGGTGGAATGCTCCCGCGACAAGTGCATGAATCAGTGCATCAGCAACGACAAGAGCGCTGCCTGCACTGGCTGCGTGAGGAAAGGCTGCCGTCCAAGCATGAAGAAGTGCAGTGGCCTGAACGCGGGGGGGCACTGAGCATTTCAGAAGACAGAGCCTCTGACTATCAATGGCCCAATGCGGTCATTAGGGAGCTGAAAACAACGTCGTTCATGCTTTTTCAACATCTCGTTATTTTTTTTTGCTTTTGCTTTGTAGGGTGGGCTTGTTACTCTTTTGTTACTCGCGCAAGCTACTCGGCTGGCTACTTGGTGACAGGGTTTGGATGGGATTGGCAGACAGGATGCGAGAACGGATGCGGCGTACGCTGAGACCCCACTGAACAGACATGGACGGGTGTGTATTTCAATAGGGGGGCGCCCAACCAATGGATAGACTGGTCTGTTTCAAATTTCCCTTCTCCGGGGTCCAACTCAGGAGGTCTTGGTCTCCCATGTTCACTTCCGCTGGACATTTCTGCGTCCGTGAGATCCAATTCTCACGACCCGCTCCGCAAGTGTGTCACAAGGGGGGGGGGGGTCCTTGGCTCGTCGGTTTACGCGTCCGTGTGGTGAAAAAAGCGAGAAACACATGTGGTCTTACACTGTTGGCTCCGGGTGTAGGCTCCTGAGACCGCAAAAAGGAGCGATCAAACATGTGGTCTAACGAACGAACCACGTTTGGTTGGTGCCCAAAAGTGTCAGCGGTCGAATGGGGGTTTCGTTTCAAAGAAGGAGTCAGCTCAAAGAAGCACAGCTGTCGGCTGTTCTGACATGTGAACTCGTTTGAAGATGATGCAAGTGCTTTTGACACTGGTGCTTGCCAGGAGAGGAAAGACTCCAGAAAAAGCATCCATCTCAGTGCTCGAATAACGAGCTGGCTGGCCGGGGACTCGTGAAGTTTTCTTCTTTCGAGCTCAGACACTTGATGTTTGGCACTCGAGCTCAGCCACTTCTTGTTTGTCCACACCTGACAGCGTTACTTGCAGCACAGCAGTTTATTTGCCTTTTTTCGGTGACGAAGACGTCTTCACACCTTCGACTGCGCCGACTGCGCACATGCTTTCATCTACTCCTGGTCCGCGACCTTCGACCCTCCCACTTCTAGGTGAAAAACGTGCTTGTTTTCACCAGGCACCTGGGATCGCGAGCAGCTCGACCAAAACTATGTGTGCAGCACTGGTGTTTTGCAAACACATGTTGCTTCGAACCCACTGAAAACTGTGTGGCCTTCAGCCCGCTCCATCCCTCCACATCTCATTCAGCTCCATCGCGCTCCCTCTGAGCTGGGTCCCATGCGGTCGTGTGAGTTCACCGGAATGAGGCCTTGCAGAATCCAATGATGAGTTTTCCTTCCTTGGAGCGCTTTGGAGGCCTTGGAAGCTTACTTGATGTGCGATTTCTCCTCATCACTTCACACAGTGAGTGATATACTGGATGTTCATCGGAAGGGTCGTGATTCTTGGACAAGAATTAGGGTGGTCTGTGACATGGGGTCTTGCTGAGGTCGAAACTATAGTGATCCCCAAATAGATTGAAACGGCGTTCATTCCATTTTCAGCGGAGATTTACTTTTCTATTTCTATCTATTTGGGGATCTATTTATATATGTTTGTTTTCAAGCACCACCCACCGCTGATTAAAGCAGTGGTGAATTGGCAAACTCACCAAGTGATGTGAACATAGTGGAGCAATAAAACAGAACACTCGCAAATCCAGGAGAACCTTCTTCGATCTCTTTTGTAAATCATTTGCACTTGAACAAGATCTGCCGATCTGCCACAACTGCTTGCCTTCTCTGTTTACCAAAGGAAGTCTCCCACAGTAGAATATGCAACCTCAAAAGCAAAGGACAACTGCTAAATGTATGTGTTGGACATGTTTTGAAAGTACAACACCTTACCTACTTCAGGCCATACCTCGCCCACACACACACACACACTAGCTCAAGGATTCTTGGGCACCCCTAACCACTCGTCCGGATTTTCACTAAGCGCCCAAGACCATCCGACATGAACATGTCCAACAATACAATTTGCTCGCTCTTGAGCGGGAGTCGCGCTCGTCCCCGCGTTCCTGGTTCAAGCTTGCTCAAAGCCAGATGAGCACCACTGGGTTAGCCGGCTCTCGAGGCGGTAACAAGCCGTCAGATTACAAGCTTCGCGGAGAAGCTTTTCTTTGGCCCTCCGAACTCCGCCGAATCAATGGGGACATTTCTATACATTTCTTCTTCCCTTGGAGCTTTTTCTTGAAGCCCCTAAAACCATAGGGTTTTGAGAGGCACACCTGGCCCAACAATTGGTTCGAGTTTCAGAGGTCTCTTGCCGAGGACGATTGCTCAGTTGGTTTTTAGCCGTTGGATGATTGCTCAAGTGCTCTTCCCGGCCACAGGAGCATACGAGCATCCTTCTACCCATTTCACCGCATAGCTTTCCCCATGACACAAGAAGTCAGCTTGCCCTGTTTCCTGACACCGACGTGGGCTGCGCCCATCGCGTCCATGGCTGCGCCCATGGTGGCACCCATGGTGGCACCCATGGTCTTCGCGCCGGAGTGGCGCGTGCAACAGCTGGAATGGCGTTTGGCAGAGGTCGAACGAGCTGCTCGGTGTGTTTTTAGTGAGTGCGGGACGTGCTGACGTTCACTGGGGTCGACCGGTGGTGTGACATCGGGCGCCGACATCAGCGGGGGGTTCCATGTCTGAAAGACGGCAAGTTCAAGCAGTGTTCAATCCTGGGAAGTCCTTGCTTCCCCCGAGTCCCAAATCAAGGCAAAGGGAATCCAGCGAGCGATCACGACACATCCACCTTGAGAGCCTTCTGCTTCTTCAAGTCCCAAGACACCCGAGAAAACGCCGCGAGACACGCTGAAGTTCGGTTCTGCTCGCCGTTTTGAGGTCTTGGCCACTTTGAAGCCCAACGGAGGGACCAGCGATGAAGGAGGAGATCTGGCACGGTGCACGGCACCTCCCGAGAGTCCTTTTTTCTTTACACCAGTCAGTCTGGGAGGTGCCCCGGTGAGGTGGAACCAAATGCTAACTACTAGTAAGGCACTTGTTGCAGTTTTGCTGCAGATCTGCTGCAGTTTAGCAAAGTCCAGGTCGGTCAGGTGCTGCGCGAGACAGTGAGACAGCCAGGTGCTGCGAGGTCTCGAAGAAGACATTCTCTGAATCTCGGAAACGGCTCAATGCGTGGATCACCGTGTCAAGAATCAGCCGCAGCCACTAACCATGTCAAGTCTTTTTTGGATGCGCCTTGGAATTGGGTGCCCCTCTTTTTCTGCTTCCAGTAAATCCTTCAAAGAAGGAACAACAAGAACAGAACAAGATAAATCAATGGGAAAGGACCGAAGAACAAGTTATTTGCTCATTAACATGTCAGTTTGACATTTGTTCCAGTCATGAATCACTGGATCAATTATATAATACCCATCAAGACCAACTACTTGGGCGATGAACCTCCTAGTATTTTTCTGGCATAGAGGTGCACCAGGCCATGAATTCGCATCGAATTGGTATTAGTATTGCTATATGATATATCGTAGCAAGGGAAAAGGGGCGCATATCCCAGATTGACATGTCCACAAGTTGTGCGACACCATCGAATTATGTTCGATTCCTTCCGAGTTTCGCAAGTCGAGGAGAATGGAAAGCCTTCGGAAAGGCGCCTCCCACCGTGTCAGCGTCTTCGGTCGTGTTCCACTGGGCCACGTTGGTTGCGCCGGACGTCATACCGGTGTGAAGGAACATGTGTCCCATCCTCACAGTAGCCACCATTGGAGGTGCTTAGAAATCATCCACCTTTCAAATCAAAGAATTTTGTTGGGATTTGTTAGTTCTAGTAGAAACAGGTGCCTTACTAGTAGTAACAGGTGCCTTACTATATAGTAGTAACAAAGAAGCTACTAGGAACAAGTGCATCGCTATGAGTGATTTTCAGACCTTTCTTGCTTTTCTGGAAGATCGAAGGCTGGGAGGTCGGGACCTCGGTGCCGATGGTGCCAGGGGAGCCCCAACAGTGACAACAGCTTGTTGCGCGCCAACTCCGAAGCCTTTGACTCGGACGCTTGGTCAAGTCAGACATTGGCACGCATGCTTGGAGCATGAAATTCGGGGGCAGCGGCCCCAGGCAACCGGTTGAGTTCGGGAAATAGACCAGTCTACGGGCCAGTGGTCTTCCAGAACACCCATGTGGCAGTCATTCTGCCCGAAAAAGACCAATATTTTTTTTCTACCGATCGAGAGGAACCTGCGCAGCAGCTTCAGCGCCATGTTCTTCACATCGTCCCTTCCCTTGAAAGGGGTACCGTACTTTGTATGTATGATCAGCGATCCTACATGGAGCACACCGGCAGCTTGGATCCTGGCTTTCCCACCGACCGAAGATGAACCGGACAGACTGAAATTGACCACCAGACATGGTCAGGCTGTAAGGGTGAACGGGTCTCCGGGTTTCGATTCCAACCAATTCTGGACCATCATGCCACGATGTCTAATCTTTGGTACAAACCTCGAGAGTGAAGTCCAACGACCTCGCCAGGTTGCTTTGGCAGTGACAATGCTCCAGTACCTACTTACTTGGCAAGTAAGCATGATCGACTGAAATCTTTGAGGCTTGAGGTGAACGGCTGAAATACAGTAAACGAAGCGGAGCTTGAGTTAAAAGCGAAACGGGGGACGACGAATGGCTTGCATGGCTCGCCTGGGCATGTGCGCCATTCTTGTCATGCAATGAGTTTTCGGAGGTGTGTATTTGAATAGGGGGGCCCCCAGCCCATGGATTTGGGTCTATTTCCCTTCATTTCTTTTGGGCACCACGAAAGCCAAAGCCAGTCCTCCCAAGACGGTTTGCCGCATCGAAAGCCGCCTAGTCCCTTTTCCTGCCATCGGGCGATGAAGTGCGTGGGGGCGTGGCCACGATGGGTCCCTGCCACTTGGCCGACGGTCTCGACCGTTCTTTTTTTTTCCGGCTCCGAGGCGTGGCCGAGGCTTAGGGAGTTTCTTTTTGGGGGGGCCCCAGGACTGACTGGTGCTTAGCAGGGAATGAGGGAATGATCCATCCACGAAATTGCCTACTAAGCACCAGTCAGAGGAGGGAGAGGCTTAGGGAGGATCCAAGCTGAAGGACGCCCTCCGATCTGAACATCAGCTCCCGGTTCTTCGAGGAGGCTCAGCTCACCCGAAGCGAACGAAGCGAACGAAGGAACCCGAGCCTTGTTACAAGTTCCACCATACTTGTAACATAGTGGATGTATGTATGGGGTTCAAGAACCATATAAAAACGGTATATTGTTGTAGTTCCACCATATCTAGTTCCACCAAATCTATATATATATAGTTCTGGATGTATGGGGGTTCAGGACAGAGAAAGAGGCCCACGCACCCAAGCCTTGTAGATCTTTTTTGACACTTTGAAGACCGTCCGGATTCGGACGGGATGTTTTTTTTGATTCGATTGTAGCAGTGTAGCAGTGCGCATTCCCCCCAAAGCCTCCGTAGCCCTTGGCGTTTGCGTCACCCGTCATGCACCCTTCACATCCACAATGAAACAACCTCAAGTATAACTTAAGCCTCCATCCTGACGCTCCTCACCAAACACACGAACCTGTTCGCTCCCAAGTGGTTCGCTTTTTTCACCCGTTTCACCCTGGTGTCGTTGACCATGGCTTTCGTCTCTGTCAGTCGCACTTTCGGAAACACCCGTGGTTCCGCCCAGTTGGACCGTTGGAACCGATTCAGGCTACGAAGTCCAACATTCCATTTGGGCGCCTTGGTGCCACCGGGCTCGAGAACACCGAGTTCCTCTTGTTAACGTCGAGTTCCGGTTGCGGGGGGTAGAGGCTTTGGCGTTTTGCTGCGCCTGGGAGCTCCGGGGGCCACTGTTTGGTTTGCAACCGTTCAACTGGTGAAGCTGGGACTCTCGCTTCCAGAGGTTAAGCTGTGGGACTCTTCTGGTTTTGTGGCTTTGCAAGACTCGCCTCCAAGACTAGGGGAAGATTGGTGGGACTGTCATTGGGAAGCTGTGACAGGGCGGCTTAGGCCCAAGAAGCTGCTGCTTTCAATGATGGCACCCTTTCTTAAATAAACTGACCAGATGTTTGCATTTCTTTTCGGGTGCTCGGGGACGGGGCAAAAGAGAGTACGTCTTGCAGAGAGGGACTTTCTTTTTTTTGGGCTCAATGCCTTCACTCATTTAGCAACTGTTAAAGACCAGAGTAGCAATGCATGAAGGCACATGGTGGGGTGGGGTGGGGTGGGGTGAATATCAGAAAGCAGACTTCTTGTATCAGGAGAACAGTTCCTTCGCCCTCAGCCCTGCAAAAGGAAGAACTGTATTGGTTGGGGGGCGAGATCCAGCTCCGAAACAAGAAGAACCCCTCCTTGTGGAGTTTGTGGAGCCTTCACTCGCGCAACATGAAATTGGCATCACTGATTGGAAGACGACACAAGTGCTAAACAGTTCTTTTGGCCTCCGTGGAATCTCATCCCCGCCACCTGTCGCCCCGCTGTCCCCGCTATCTTCGACGGATTTTCTGGAGCGCTCTGAGCGTGCCACATCTAGGACAGCTGCATGATTGTGGGTTTGCCCATCATCAGCGGTTGGGACTCCGTCTTGGTTTGTTTGTGTTGTTGCATGCCACTTGGACGAACAAAGAAGATCTGGACCTATCAAATCGTAGTCCCCCACCAACATGGCCTGTGAAGAGGATCTACTGCTGCAGAGGTAGCTTTGAGGGTGGTAGAAGCATGGTGTGGGGGTCCTACAAGAGGATGCAGGCATCGGAAGCAGTGATAAGCAACCTCCTCTTATTTCGGAAAATAGACCCCCGGCCGTTCCTTCTGGTGAAGATATGTGTCTTCGGTCCGCTCAGCATGGCACCCTTCTACAAGACGACCTCGTTAGATGAGAGGAAGGCGTGCAAGGCAAACAAAACGCGGACCGAGGCTTTTTTGATTTGCCGTCGAGTCGAAGAGATATTTCCGACATACCTCGACCCGTCTCGACTCCTCTCAAAGTCTGGGTCAACTCAGTGAACTCTTTAGACATCTGTAGACACTTGGAGGCAACCGGTAGAAAACAAAAGCCAGTGGAGGCAACACTTTCTCCGCCCCCAGGGGTCCTTTACGACGATCTCGGATTCCGCCGAGGAACATCGCTGCTCAAATCGGCTTCGTCGCTCCTGGGCCGAGACGGGACGGACGAACGGACGAACGGACGGACCACCGAACGGACAGCCTGGGCCCTTGGCCGTTCGGCCGGGGGGTTCGGGGGAGGTCTCTCCAGTTGTACATGGACTATCATATAAATATAGATTCAAACAGGAACCCAAATCTGTTTGTTTACGTCGTGGAGAAGGGTTACAGTATATGTATATAATATGATATATCACCTCTCAGTCGCTCTGAAAAAGTGTGACCGAGCCAATCCTGGGGTTTCAACGCCGTTTTTGTAAAGTTTTTCGCATAAACGGTGTCCGTGGTTAAAAGTAAGGTTGCACAGTTCTTACTTGCATAGTTGCATCCTGGTTAAACGTTGTCATCGAAGAGTCGTGTGATTTAGTAAGTGAACCGTGCAATGCGCAGATCCCACTTGTTGGGAGTGAGCCCAAAGTAGGGCGAGGCTCAGAAGAGCTTTTGGAGCCTTCTGGGAAATACAGAGATGCTCGAGAACAAGAGCTTGGTTGCTCTCCGCAGACGTGGTGGTGTGACTGGGCAATGACTCTGACTCTGCGTGGCTCGGTTTTTGAAGAACAGGTTTTCAGGAGGGTCGACCGTTCTCTTGTGGAGGGTAGGCCTCTGAGATGTTGAAGCTGTTGACTATCAGATGACGCAGAGGAAAGCTACCAAGTCTGGGGCGCAACTGGGGCAGACATTGCCCGAGCGCCAGCAGAGATTGTCGCTCACTCACATCCTTTGCCTTCTAGAGATTCTAGAGAAACAGCCCAACTCCACCGTTGTTCTTCCCAGATGACTTTTTGCACGTCTAACCTCAAAGTGGGTCAACTGAAACTCTTCCCCATGCCCTCGGGAGAACGAGCCAGAAGCAGCTCATCCTCGAATCGCTGAATCCTGTTGGGGACATGCCTTGGGATGATAGAACCTTTGGCGCAACAGAGCTCAAAGCAGACATCAAAGATTCAAACAGCTACTCCAGGGGAAGCACCACGCTCCGAGAAGACTGTAGAGAGGCACGAGTTCATCACGCACAAGCGCAGACTGTTCATCAGTACGGGGACATTCTCAAGGTGCTAACTGCAACGGGAAGAAACGTGGGCAAAAGTGCAAGGTGAGCAAAGTTGACGGGCTGTGTGAGCCTTGGAAGCGGTCAGGCGATCAGTCAAGTTCGAGAAGGAAACCACGGCCGTGCTTCAAGGAGCTGCAGAACCACTTTCGCAGACGCGTTTCTCTCAATCCATCGTGCCAACACTCCGGCTGGCCCGCCGTACACGAGCTGAATTGGCTAGCTGGGCATGTAGGTGGTTATTGAACATGCAGTGTGCCAGAAGTAGTGTTGCTAAAGTGCCCAGATGTGAAAATTGCGCACCAAAAAGAACGAAATTTAAGGAACAACAAAAGGTCTTGAGCGGCCGAGTTCTATTATCGTCAGGCAAAAACCTTTGATGACTGACTTTCAAAGATTCAGCCAAGCCGGAGTTTCACAATTTGCAGACCCAGAGAATCGTAGTTATATAGCCGTTTTCCTCTAGAAACGTTCGCTAGCTCAAACTCACAGAAGCCCGCATCCCAAAAAGACCATGCTTGTCCACCAGAGGTTCGCTGGATTTGTCGCCTGTTGATTTCTACCCACGCACATCCTCGCGTGCATCGCCCAGTATATCGTCAAGCAGTACATGTCAGAGACTGTCTACAGCCACGACCAGCTCTCACAGTTGGTCGACTTCAGGACCCTGTGTGCCAAGACGTTTGTCTAAGGTCTAGCATCGAGTTCAGTAGGGTGGAGATAGTATTTATTCAGGTTCTTGGGGGGGTTAACCGGTTTGATCGGTCTGCGGGTGTGCGTTTCGTTGGTGCACGGCTTGTTGTGGGTTAACCGACTTCATTCTGGAATCAGGGTGGTGCTTAAACACCCCCCAGGCAGTGGCGTGTTTGCAAAATAACAAGCACCAACATTGAAACCAGGACGAACATTGCGCATCAAGTGAAGTATGCCGACATGGTCACAGGCCCGGTGGCAGAGGGGCAAGGCCCGCTTGATGATTGGACCCCTGGGGAGACCCCCACCTCGACCTGGCTGATGGTGAGCACAAGACAGTTCCCCTTTTGTGTTCCAACGTGCCACAATGGTGGTGATCACAGGCAATGGATTGTTGAGGGGTTAGACCAACAATAAAAGCACAATACCCTCCCAACCAGGTGTATATATAATTGTTTGACGAATGTGGATGAGCCATTTCCCTGACATTTGTTGATTTCGGTCGCGCAGGCCGCTCCTTGGCGAGGCAGGTTTGCGACATGGACGAACAGTTGCCGTGGGCCAGTACTCAGTATTCGGCGACTCGCCCGGTTTGAACAGATGTGTCTTGCATGATGTGGTTCACAAGATAGCTTAGCAGGTGACTTGGGCTAGGTGGTGAGTGGGTTTAGATGGTACGGTATGTTTCGGTTTTTAAGTATTTTTTTTACATCAATGTGAGGATCGCCACCTTAACATCAAGATCTTCACTAAGTATAGTAAGTTGATGCAAATGCTCAGCAAACTCCCACCTAGGTGGGTGCTAAATGTCGAGTCTAAACTCACGCTGAACATTTTTGGCAATCCTGGCTGCGCCAAGATAAGCATGCTTTAAGCAACCAGGAGAGGTGAGGAAAGACTGGCCAAAATGCCACCTTCGTCCACTCGTCTCCTTGTCCTCCCTCGGTTTGAACATCCTGAACATCAAGTCTTGAGTCGAATGAAATTCCTTGGGCTTTCCAAAAGAGACGGAAATCGATTTCGCTTGGTCTATTTGTTCAATTCTATGGTTTGGGTCTGTCCTACTAGCTGTAACAGTCACAAGGCATTTACTAACCATCATTATCGTCTGTTACAGGTATTAGGATAGACCCAATCTATGATACCTCTAAATGCCTCACATCATATCCTTTCATTTCACGAAGCTGGAGACTTAGAGTGAGTCGAAGAAGCCCGTTTTGCGGGTCCACGCGGTCCAGCTGTGGTCTGGCCATGTCAGCGTTGAAACGCAACGAATTTGATGAGGACAGTTGGACCGTGGGACCGTTCTGCACGGCGGACACAGCGTGTTGGTTGGGATATTCCCGTGTGAAAGTGACCGTGATTGCCTTGAAATTGGAGGCTGCAACTTGGAGGTGTCTCCTTTTCCGATCGTTTTGGGGTCGCATTCGGCCTCGCGCCAGCTTGGCTCGTTGGGGTGCGCCCGAGGCCGTGGAAGATCTCCAGAACTATGCGCAGACGGGGCTCTGGTGACCTGGCGCTGTGATTTTGGGCTGACGATTTCAGCTTGGTCTTTCTTTTGAAAGTTATTTTCAACTTATTGCGGCTCCGTGGTAGCGAAGAAGCCCGCCATCAGGAGGCAATCGCGGTGAGTGCGATTTTCATTCACTTGGAATTGAACATGAGGCCAGTGGATTGTTTCTTTGATTGCTCAAGTATCCAGTCGATGGTTGAGATGGATATGCTCTTCCCCTTCAAATGTGGGGATCACTGCTTCTTCTTCCTTCACTTCTTGGAGAAGCATTCATTTTTGGGGGATGGCAGTGATATGTGGAATGTGATACGTGGTGATGCAGAATTTCCTAAGGTTCCCCGCATCTGGACTTTCCGGTGTGGGGGTCAGACCCGGCCCCATCAATCGTTATTATATTGTGGAGGAGGTGGCCTCCACTGTTTGCATGCTTTTAACAACGCCTCTAAATTTCAATTTGCCAATCAGTGTGGAGGCCCAGTTTCCTCAGGCTGACTAGCATTCCAAGCCTTCTTTCACATGCCCAAGTCAATCCATTCCTCAAAAAGGCCCTGGCGGCCATTCCATGGCGGAATCTTGAGGACCACGACCCCTCAAAACCCTTTTGCGCAGCGCGTGCGATCCCGCTCCGAGTACACAGTCCTTCCAATTGTGGGGCACAGGTTCAACCCTGCCACGCCCCACCTTGGACACACTGGGTAGTACATGAACAACCCCTTTTCAACCACCCCAGCAGGTGTTAATCATATAGATCTATGCCCACACCACCATCCATCCGATCGCGGCTCCAGGCTGGCCCTCGTGGCGATCGGCTGTTGGTTGGCGACCACCTTGCGGGAGCGCGGATAGGGCGGCCGGGCGGCGGCTTGGGCGGCGGCTTGGGCGGTGGCTTGGGCGGCGGGGAGGCAATCAAGGGGGACCGACCGGAACGGTCAACCGCTTTTTCAGACTATTTACTTGCTCCTAGCGATAGCCTGCAACCTAAAGAATCCTTGCTCCGTTCGGTTCGCGATGCCAGGAGCCCTGAACGTAGTGTCCTTACTCCTTGTAGTAAGGCCAGGAGCCCCGTTCGTAGCGTCCTTGCTCCTATATGTTCTGGAGGGACTTTTCAGACAACAGGCTGTTCTTTTCAGGACCAAAGCTGTTCCTTTTGGAGAGAAGGTTCCTTTTTTTGGAGGACCAAAGCTTGTGTGTGTGTGCTTACTTTTTTACAGGTCTCGGTGGGAGGTGGGGAGGGACTTTTTGGTGGGCCCACGGGTTTGCAAATGCTGAAATTCCTCACTCCCAACCTTTGTCCGTGGTCGCAATGCTGTCACAGACCTTTAGGGCTGGGATTTACAATCATTCTGGAGTAGATAGAATATGAACCAATCCAAGAAGATGACCGGTTCTCTTATATTCTAATGGTATCTAGTCCAGGATGTCTACATCACTAGCAACTACGAACTCGACCCTGAATCTGTCTATATAGAGTCTTCGAGGACTTTTCCTGCAACTGTATTTTCATGGTCAATGTTAGTCTTCGGGCGTGCGTCTCTCAATTGATACCGCCGCTGTTTCACGGCAAAGCGTTTTTGTTTGTGCTAGGTGGTATTTCCAACATATTTGCCCCACTGAGATACACTCATTTCAAACACGAACATGGGGTCAATGTCTGGTAGGCCTGGCTACGCACTGGGGGGGTTGAACTAGCGGACGTTGATACCATTGGATACCTGGAACCGATGTATTTGTATGATTTTGTATGATATGGGCATATTTGGGACGCCCTGTTCCAGCTCGTTGGGCGATTTTACTACCTTGAAAACTGAGCAGATGTCGACCTCGTCCGAACATGTTCGAAAACTGGCTGTGGGGTATACCTACCGTTGATCGGTCCATGCATTCATGGCAGTGTGAAAAGATATCACAGGGTGTGAATGTGGTGAACAGAGGGAAATGGACCGGAAAGTCCATTTCGGGCAGCTCATCTAGGATGGTTCGACCAAAACCCTGCAAACACAATGGAACATATCGGGTGTTCGGTGTTCATGTCGAACCCCCCTTCCTTTTCCTTGGCCCAAGCCCCCCCCAGCCACTTCTGGACTTTCAGCGCACCGATCGGACTCCTTCGCACCAGGAGATCTTCAACATCGTTGCGCATGCTGCTGCTCTAAATGGCATTGACGTAGGCACTGCCCGGGGCTGGATTGCATGCGGTTTCCGTGGGGCTGCGGGCGTTCACGTCCCAAGTGGTGGGTGAAACCCAGGACTCAGGACGTCTCACCCCCTCCTGTTGGAACCACCACATGGACGCCACACACGGGAGGTGGGAGGTGCCACCCCCCAGGTCACGGGTGCTCACCGATTTCGACCAGTGTACTGTATATACCGTTTTTTGAACTCACATTAAAGAACCGGAGCAGCCAGCGCAGTCTCTTTTGCATGGTCTCTGCTTCACAGCTCCACAGCAAGATCCTCTCGCGCGAAATCGATCCTGTCTCCTGATTTCGCACACTTAGATTGATGCTCGCAAGAGCTGAATCAGTTGACGAAGTTCCACTTTACACGCAGTTAGACCTTGACTTGATTCAACCGTAAAAGGTGCCGGGTCAGAAGAACTGAATGTTTGAACAAGGACTCATTAGCACTTTAAGATCTTCAAGGTTATTAAACAGTTGCTGCAGGTACGTTCGGCTGATCAGGCCGAATGTCCCACTCTGTGACCTAGATTCGTTGAACTGGGTCAGTCACAGGGTGCCCAGTTTTTGTGCAATCCTCGTAAACTCCACCGAAAGCGAATTATTCTGTGCAAACTCCTTAGGAACAGGTGTGGACACACACAGAATGCCGCTATCGGCGCTCAAAAGTTTTACTAGCCACCTAACAAGCCATAGAAAGAAAGGAAAGGAAAAGACAGAAAGAGCAAACGAAGACAAGAGAGAAAGATAGGAGTAGTTACGAGGCCCACTAGTTATGAAGCCTTCTAGTTACTGACTACTTAGCCGAATGAATTAGGTGCAATAGTTAGCAATAGTTTAGTCTTAGACCGCCCGGGTAGGAACGACTAGGACAGGAGAAACAGAAGGAAAGGCACCAACACACAAGTGTGTTGAGTGCGACTTCCTTCTGTTACCCTAATTAGAGGGTGGGATAAGAAGTGTGAATTCTCGTGCAAGGAGGGGGTGTGTGTGTGGCCCTAAGGCACTGCCGTAATCGGCGGTTCCTTGACTAAAAGGCACCTAAAACCTAAAGAAAGGCCTCAAGAAAACGGAAAGCAACAGCAGGAGAGAAAATCCAAAAGAACCAAAAGAGATTACTTAGTTGCTTGCCTATTGGTCCGCTGCTCACGTTTCTCACTCTCCTCACACTCGGCCGTAAACGGCGCTCCCTTGACTAAAGCTTCACCTGAAACCTAAAAGCCTCAAGCAAAATCTTTGGAAGTTGTTCGACACGTCTGCGTCTGTTTCGCCTAATGTGTCGCCCAGGTCCGTAGGTATCCAATCACTTCACGCCTACGCTCTTTTTTTCGACGTGACATGTGATTTCCTAGCGGCATGTGGTATTCATTCAGTGAGCCCTGCGGCATATAGTCTCAGTGAGCCCTGCGGCGTTCAATCGGCAATCTCAAGCAGAACGAAACGAGCCGGTGGTAGTCAGAACGAAATTCCCGAATGAAGGACGAGGAGTCAGGGAGGATCACCCTGACGGGCATGTGCACATGCTGCGCCCCTCGATGGGGATCACACAGCCCTCAGTGGGACTCTGTGGCGACACACAATTAGATTGATGCTCGCAAGAGCTGAATCAGTTGACGAAGTTCCACTTTACACGCAGTTAGACCTTGACTTGATTCAACCGTAAAAGGTGCCGGGTCAGAAGAACTGAATGTTTGAACAAGGACTCACTAGCACTTTAAGATCTTTAAGGTTATTAAACAGTTGCTGCAGGTACGTTCGGCTGATCAGGCCGAATGTCCCACTCTGTGACCTAGCTTCGTTGAACTCGGTCAGTCACAGAGTGCCCAGTTCCCCTGCAAACCTCGTAAACTCCACCGAAAGCGAAGTATTCTGTGCAAACTCCTTAGGAACAGGTGTGGACACACACACACACACGAGTTGTCTGTGGGTGGGGGCGAGTTCTACTCTTTTTCTTGTTATCCATCAGCGATGCCCCTGTATGCTGCCATTAAAAGTGGCTGACAGAAAAGCAGCTGTGGGTATTGAATGTATGGGGCAAACATTTGCATCTGGTGGCTGTCTGATCAACAACAATCTGTGTGAATAGGATCACTGTCCTATTCACAATGATTCGCAGATGTTTGCGGAGGAAAGAAATGGTCGTCACATGATCCAAACTGCGAAAACTGGCTCTGAACCGCTTGGACTTCCGTTGGGCATTCGTTTTGTGGGTCAGGTGATGAAACGGTCTTGGAGGAGAACGAGCGAGAGGAGGACGAGCGGCAGACAGACCAGAACGTGGCGAAACGGCATGTGTGGCGAAACGCCCGACCCGTCCGTCCGGTCGCTGGTCCGCCCGACCGACGTCGAGCCCAACCGGGGTGGCGTGGGGTCAACAGGTTCCGGTCTCGCCATGACCCACAGGCAACGAATGAGCAAGTGGGGAGCCCTCCAAGATGATAACATACCACCGAAACTGAGTGGAAATGACTGTCCGTGGGTGCAACCACAAACCGGAAATGCACAACTGTGATCGTGGTTGTGTGTTGGTCCCGGAATGGTGGTATATAGTTCTCTTAAACATTGTTTGGAGGGGCAGATTGATTTACCAAGTGCGTGCATTCTAAGACACTTGTTGGGTTATTCCACTGTAGCCCTGCACTCAATTTTCAAGGGTTCTTCTATTGGATTATTGAGATTACTGCACTATATATGTTTACTTTCAAGCCATACCCTCCCTCCAACAATCATTGAAGCTGACCAGGACCCCCTCCTAGAGGAAAATGGTCTTCGAGGGGCCTGTGTTCCACTTCCTTGATTGTTTCAGGGAGTGTAGTCATTGATCCTGCGTGTTGGTTGGGTGAATCGACCTAGAAAGTCCACCAGTCTACCAGTCCAGAGTGAGATCTGGAGAACGATCCGGGCTGAGTTGCGGCATGTGGCCGAAGAGAATCCTAAACCAAGTGGCTTACTGTAGATGCTTTGGGTCGGCCTCCCTGTAGTTGGCTTAGAATGGAAAGGGGAAGGAGGGCCGACCATGACCATCCCATCATCCCACAGCCCTGCGTAGTGAGTTGGACCTGGCAATCAGCTACCCGACCCACACCTGAAGAGAAGGGTAGACACTGATAGGTTCCCATAGGGGGTAGACACCTGATCTCCAGAGTCCTTTGGCATCGTGGTACTCCCGGGAAACTTCATGGTGATAGTAGTACCACAGGTCATGAAACCCCTAAAGTATCAGTGAGCGTTTATGAGCTTTTGGGTTTTCCATGTATAGGAACCGGGAAAAAAACAATCGGTGCCTTGTCCTAGGTGTAGATCCTGGGAAATGGTCATCGCAAAGGGATGTTAGTAGGTTATCTTGGACACAGGGACTAGGTACATCTAGGTACCGCACCCACTTGATTTTAATTTAGTTGTTCCTTCCCCAGTGCATGACCAGGGCCTTCTTCCTGGTCCAAGACCACGTCCGGTCCGGTCCAAGCGAGGTGAAGTTCACCCGGATCTCTCGGCTGCGACGCAACTTGCTCTTCCTCTTCGTGATTTTGCCCAGGGGCTTAGTGGCTGTGGTGCTGGCAGACACTGGCCGGGGGGGCTGGCTGGGGTGATCCTGGGGTGGGACTCGGTGAGAAACCACCCAAGCGGTGAATGGAGGCGTGGCAAGAAAAACTGTTGCTTGGTGAGGGACAACCTAAGGTGTGGGTCAACCATTAAAGCCTGCACCGAATTCGTCAACCTTTCACGGCATGTTTACGGAAGCCAGCCGATACAAGGCTAGGCTGAAGTGAGTTTATGCGAACGAAGTGAGAATTGGGGGGTGTGGGGAGCAGAGCAGGCACGACTATGAGTACCAAAAGTGTTCGCGTCCTCCGAACGGCTTCGGACAGGCACTCGCTACCTGGCAAATACCATTGGACTGGAAGATTTGAAGCTTGGCCTTGTGAATTCTGGTGCTGGTTGGCAGTGAAGGTTCTTCTTTTTCTGGGGACCTTGGGAATTGATGTGATAGATAGAAGTGTGATGACGTGTGATAGATGAACGTGTCAGAAAGAGAGGTCATTTTCAACTTCCGCTTCCTCCCTCTCCTCCCACTGCACGGTTTCCAAACGGGTCTCGTCCAAACGGGTGTTGGCCCACCATTTCACTGGTCTGAAACACGGTGGGCACTAGAGGTCTGGCTGATTGACTTCCTGTATCTACCGAAAGCCCTGCAGCTGGACCGGCTAGTTGACTCGAGACTAATTCAAGTAGTCGATTTCGCCATCACCCAAAGCAGTTTGTCGAGACACCGCAAACCGCCCTGCGGTCAGGCCCCTGAGTTGCTCTCCCCGAGTTCTCAAATTCTTCTGTTTCCCTGTGTCCCACATCTCTAAGGATTTTGAATGCCGTGGCGCTCGCCTTCATTCTGGACCGGCTGGCCAACCGTGAGCGCTCCGCAGCGCTCCGCAGCGCGGGTCTCGTCGCTCCATTCGGGTCCACCGTTCGGTCCCCGCCGGTCCAGGACCTGGACGAGCTCATTGAGAGCGCGTTTGCTCCAAGGAGGCGGAGAGCGGGTCGCGGTCGCGAGCGCTTGGGCAGAAGAGCGAGCGGTCGCGAGCGCTTGGGGGGTGTCAAATCCATCCAGCTGGCAGACTTGGGGTGGTAGAGATTCCTGAAAGCCCCTCATCCGACATTTTTTGGGGGAGAGAGGGTCTGTTAGGCCCCTTTGGATGTGTGATGGCTTGTGTTGGTTTGTTGAGTTTTCGTTGATAGACGTTGCCGGAGTTTCATTACATTCACCCATCAGCTCCAAGTTTCTGAATAAGTGATATATGAACCTAAGATATCCTAAGATAACCGAACTTTCATTTTGCCGTTGCTACAAAGTGAGTTTTATTGGAAGAATGTTCGAACAAATGTAGAAAGTGACTGGTTGGCGAGAAAGCGACACTCTGCCTCTGGTTCTTGATCTTGGCATTTGCGAAGGTGTAACCCTCCACATGCAAGATGACTTGTAGGAAAGCCGAGCGTAGATGTGATGGGTATATAGGTACAGGATTTCAACGATTTCATGTTTCCAACTTTCTTACTGTTTTAGCTGTCAGACGCGAAAGAGAAGAACAGTACTTCCTCCAAGGGGGAGGCACGAATCTGGTGTTCATGCATGTGAGTGTTGTTCGAAACCCACGCTCAAAAAAAATCACCCACGCTCGTGATGACTTGGGGCCGCTCGAGCTGGAAACCCAGCGAAAGCACAGGGTCGCAAGCACGGGCGCGCGCGCGTAGCTTCAGAGCTAGCGAAGCTGAAGTCGCGTCGTGTCATGCCGGTTGATGTTCAATTATTTTCAAATATTTTCATTTTTTCACATGATATTCATGAGGGTTTCAGCTTTCATGTGGTTTCTGGTGAAAAGTTTCTACATCAATTTTCATTTGCGAACGGATTTTCACCACTTCACGGCCCCTGCGAGGGCACGCTTCTTGCTTGATGAGATCCATGCCTTGCCAATTCCCAGGCTTTACATCCCAGGCGCGATCCGTCATCCCTGTGTGTTCTATTTTGTTTTTGTTCTTCCCAAATTAGGTACCATTATTGCTATTAATGATAATAGTACTATCACTATTATTATTACTAGTACTTCTACTACTACTACTGCTACTGCTACTGCTGCTGCTACTGCTACTGCTACCTCCTACTACGACGACGACTACTACTACGACTACGACTACGACGACTACGACGACTACTACTACTACTACGACTACTACTACGACTACTACTACTACTACTTCTACTACTACTACTACTACTCCTGCTTCTACTACTACTACTACTGCTGCTGCTGCTGCTGCTGCTCACTACTCCTGCTACAACGACAACAACTACTGCTACCACTACTGCTGCTACTGCTACTGCTACTGCTACTGCTACTACTACCACTACTGCTACTGCTACTGCTACTGCTACTGCTACTCTTTGCTACTGCTACTGCTACCCCTTGCTACTACTACTACTGCTGCTACTACTGCTACTACTACTACTACCACTACTACTACTACTGCTACTACTTCTGCTGCGACTACTACTACAAC